GTGGGGGGGTTGTTTTGAGCCTGCCATAAAAGCAATAGCAATACGAAGTCCGCCCAGGTTGAAACCGTCGTTCTTCGCTTGGAAGAAGAAGGGGGCGAGTTGTGCCTTGGCATGCATCCACCGTTTATCCGTAAACCTTCCCCAACCTGCGGTTCTCCCCAACTGGGGGGTCTCCAGGGTGTGTGTGTGTGTGTTGGGGGCTATAACAGTTCATCTTTTCCCAGATGCCTTATCCACACAGACGTAGATATGTTCCACTTAGAGGAACGGATGAAGGAACGGATGAGCTGTTCCTCTTTCATCCAGGTTATCTCCAGATCCTTCTCCATATACAGTAGGTCACTGATGACTACCCAGAAGCATAAAGGTTGGAAGAGACCTTGGGAGATCATGTAGTCCGACTCCTACTCTTGCAGCATCCCTGATAGAGGACCACCTGGCCAGTGTTTAAACACCTCCAGTTAAGGACGTGTCCATGTATTTTTCTTGGCCACGATATAGAAGGGGTTTGCCATTGCCCTCTTCTCAGACACTGTTCAACCTCCAGTCTAGCCTGTAGCTCTGGATTTTCCTGGTGGCCTCCCATCCAAATATTGATCCTGCTTTGCTTTTTGGGAACACGGCCAGCATTGGTAGGATACTGCCACTGAGTGCTCTAAATCATTCATGCATTATTATTTTTTTTCCCCCTGAATGGCACTTGTGCCAGGAATGAAAAGGTTAAACTACTCTTCTTCCTCCTCCCACCTGCCTCTCGCAATATGCTTAATGCTGAGTTAACATTTTCTGGAACTGCACAATATGTTGAACTAGAAACTCACACCGCACCCTAAGCCAAAAAATTGAAGGTTAAAATGAACCGAGCCTCATAAATTGTGTGAATTTTAACTGAAGCGATTCCGTGTGTTCTTTGAACACAGCCGTTGTCGATGCCTCTGCCCCAATCCTGTTATTATTTCATCTATATACAGAACCGTGAACGTTGCTGCAGTATTTAATTTGAATCACTTCAACAAGATTGGATGCGCAACCCAGAGACCCTCAAAAAAGGGTCGCCGTAAGGGTAATTCTTAATTGGGTTGAAGGGGGAAAATGATTTTATGCCTAGGGAGCAATCATTAGCTCCATTTAATTAGGATGCTTTTAATTAACTCTAAATGGAAATTAACTCATATCTAATTTTGCCCTAGTGCTGCCTACTTTTCAGAGTGTGCCCCCTGGCCTGAAAAAAGTTACATGCCCCTGGAGTAGATTTCTTGAATTGGCCAGAATACTTGTTCTTTACAAGAAAAAAGAAGCTTGAAGAGGTGTTCTTCTTCCTTTTATCCTAAAACTATGCATACTAAACAAGAAGAATCTTTACTCTTTCTTCCATCATTTTAGGAAGCTTTCAGTGATAAATGTTGGGTCCACCATTGAACTGAGCAAAGGACCTCTGTGCAAAGCCCTTTCAGGTGCATTCTGTTAAGCCCTGAGGAGTTGCTTGCAACCAAAATACAAGATTCTCACGGTCTTCTTTAACTAGATTTATTGAAAGGGGGAAAGGGTTAGGTTGTAGAATTCTTAGCAACTGGATACATTTTCGTTAGCACCTGACTTAACTTTCTTTAGGGTGGAGTTTTCTTGATCCTCTCACTAACCACCCACTGTGCACTGGGGAGGTGGCTCTTCATGGTCAAGGAAGAATGGGTGGATGTTGATGTCACACCGAGCTTGGCAAACGGTTGTCTCTCTTCACAGGCTTGGAGAAACCCATAATGTATGACAAGGATGGGTAACGGAGGCCAGCCAATTTCGGGCTTACATTTTTGCAAACATCAGCTTTTGCTTTTGTCATTGAACAACCTGGTGGTGGTTGGTGGTTGGTTTGTAGTGGGGGGTGGGGGTGGAGTTGCAAGCAAAGAGACTTCCAGAGATAGTTTGGATTAGCATCCTGGAAATCTGAGCTCTCAGTGGCCGTCCTCAAAGGAATTGGTTGGGAATCTGGCCATAGTAGAGGGCACTAAGAAAGTGAGCAAAACTAGGGGTGCAACTGAAAACCGCCGGATTCTGCCTTAAAGGGCAGCGTCCTGAAAGTGAATTGTGAATGCCATCCTTTCTTTATGCTTAAGGATCCTGTTTTTATGGGAGTCCAACCCAGTAGCCTTAGGCAGCTATACTACAGGTGAGGTCGTGTGTTTCTCACCTTACAGGTCTGATGCAAGTGGGGAAGAAGTCACTTCTGAAGATTTATTAGTGGGATTTACCGCTGGCCCAAAACGGTGGGGTGTTCCAGGATAGAGGCCATGGAATTGGGCCACGTTCACTGCTCCAGCCTTGTTCAAACCATTTTGCAATGTTTGCCGTGACCTGTTCCTCCAGAAAACATACTGTGCCATCCTTCCGACGTCACAAGCGGTGCTTTCCAAAGTCAAATTTGGCCTTTAATCATGGGAAAAAATGGTTTTTGCGTCCCTGCGGTGTCTTCGAGACACACAGGGTCGCAAAGAGGCAGACCCAGAGCCATCCTTCGGAGTCCGTCAACGCTGCCCTTTTCTCTCCTGTTTGTATAGAAGACAGGGAAGTTGGAAGACGTTGGGTCTGCCAAGAAAAATAATTTGAAGGAAACTGCTGAAAAGAACGATAAAACCGATAAAACTTGTTAATAGTAAAACCCGGGCTTAACCCCACCCACGTGAAAGATCTCTGGGAAGAGAAAGAGATAACAGGATGGGTGGAATCTCAGATAAACTTCCTTTCCTTAAAAGGTGGATTTACGCTGCCTAGATGGTGAGAATGGGGCTTTTTTAAAACAAAGGGTACTTTGGCACACCCTGTTAGAAATAGGGTCTATTTGGCCATTTATTTGAGAAGGAAGTCACAACTCTAAATGATGGACAAGACACATCTTAAGCAGCTTGGCAAGCCATGCTCAGGTCTGATCTGAGAGATTAGAGCAGTGTTTCTCAACCTTGGCAACTTGAAGATGGGTGGACTTCAACTCCCAGAATTC